GACGATCCCATTCAGCTGTTGCCGAAGCAGCGCGGCAGCGGGGAACATGCAGATGATCCTCGAAGTCGCCGCAGCATGGGCAAGCTGCTGATGTCTCCAGACCCCATAGAACTTTAAATTTGCCTGTACCTCACATGCCCACACAATGTTTAGTAGACCACCTTTGTAGTCCCGCAGGAAGAGATCGCATGGCACGACCCATTGTGTCCCAGGCAATCTCAGACTCGGCTTCAATGGAGATAGTACCTTTGTCACTCCAGCGGGAGCGTAGGGCCGGAAGAGTCACACACTCTTGGATGAACCGGGGATCAAGGCGTGACTGTTTGGTGTCGGCCACGTACATTGCCGCAAGTTCAGTGAAAAAACGAGGGTTGGGGGCTATACGATGATTGGCCGTCTCAAGTTCCTTACGGTACTCCACCGCCATACCATCCACCTCAAGGTTCCGTTTCTCCCACCAAGAAAGTTCGTCATAGAGATTGGACTTGTCGAGGTGTCCATACACATGCTGGGGCGCCCAATCCACCGAGGACCGAAGGATCGCTTCCCGAACGGACGATACCAGGTCAAACTGGGCATCAGTTGGAGACAGTGGACGATCTTCGAAAGCCATCTCAATAGCAGAGAGGCCATCGCAAGCAATCCGCACCTTGGGGCCAGTCAAAAGGGTTGGGAACCATTGCTCAAGGAGCCAATCGACCGCCATTATACCGGCCAACAGACCAATGATCTCGCTGCGGTATGGACTCTGGTCCTGGGGCAAACCGGGAGTCTGACAACGGATGATGATTCGATGGCATCCTCCATGCTTCACCAGGATTTGAACCGCTGCAGTCCCCAACTCGTTCTTGAAGGATCCATCGCTGATCACACGAAGGCGACCGTCCAACAGAGCATCAGCTAAGGTGGCTTCGTCACCGTGAACCTCGATCTCATTGGGGACCCACCCGTAATAGTCCGTGCAGAGCTCGGCAGCCGTCTGCCACGCGTGAAGGATGGATGGGCTGGAGGAAGAAGACGGTTCAGAGGCACGGCCAGTACCGGTGAGAAGAACCCTGTCAGATCCTGTGATGGAGCGAACCGTAGCACGAAGAACGTCAGAAGGAAGCGGTGCAGTCCACCATGGGCAGGAAGGATGGGACGGTCCTGGTGCGTAGCGACGTGACGTGGTGTGGGAGCCCTCAGAGCAAAAGTGTTTCCAGGTTGTCCCATGGCGGTGGAAAAGGCCTGTGGTGGGGGACAGTAACCGATTCCAGTCCTCCAGACGGTCAGTCCATGGCCCCAAGGGCTGTTGTAGTGGGTGATGTGGCCCGTTGGAGGCAAGCAGGGCTCTGGACAAGGTGGTCTGCCACAGGTCCCAGTGTTGCCTTGTTGGGCGAACTGTCCTTGGCCATTGGTATGGCGAGCGGCAGCACTCATCCCTGAACCCATTCCACGCGGAGCGACGAATAAACCTGCCATCAGCAGTCACAATGTCAGACACTGTGCATACCTGGAGGAACATTCGGCACCAATTGAGCCATAAAAGTTCCTCCTGTTCAACCTCCAAGTTGATGAAGAGATCCATCAGAAGGCTGTTTATTATAAGCGACAGCCGAATAAAAACCTTTGTGCTTTGCCTTCATCGTAGCTTGACGCATCCTATCGTTCCACCCATGACCCTCTGGGATAGAGGGCCAAAACGTTTTGGCCTCCGCCAACAACGCTATTCCCACTCGCTCATCTTGCAGCCAGGAGTTGATCTGCCGCTGTTTCACATGATCACCTTCCTCTGGAACACCGTTAACGTTCTGGAAGGTGACGCGAGTAGCGAGTGAAGAGCGACAGCGATGGTCATCGCCAAGGCAGTCTCCTGGTGGCAGAGAGCGTAAATATTCGTCAAGTGAAGCGTGGGAAACAACACTTGACGGGCCACTAATTCGAGATCAAGCATCCCTGAACCCATTCCACGCGGAGCGACGAATAAACCTGCCATCAGCAGTCACAATGTCAGACACTGTGCATACCTGGAGGAACATTCGGCACCAATTGAGCCATAAAAGTTCCTCCTGTTCAACCTCCAAGTTGATGAAGAGATCCATCAGAAGGCTGTTTATTATAAGCGACAGCCGAATAAAAACCTTTGTGCTTTGCCTTCATCGTAGCTTGACGCATCCTATCGTTCCACCCATGACCCTCTGGGATAGAGGGCCAAAACGTTTTGGCCTCCGCCAACAACGCTATTCCCACTCGCTCATCTTGCAGCCAGGAGTTGATCTGCCGCTGTTTCACATGATCACCTTCCTCTGGAACACCGTTAACGTTCTGGAAGGTGACGCGAGTAGCGAGTGAAGAGCGACAGCGATGGTCATCGCCAAGGCAGTCTCCTGGTGGCAGAGAGCGTAAATATTCGTCAAGTGAAGCGTGGGAAACAACACTTGACGGGCCACTAATTCGAGATCAAGCATCCCTGAACCCATTCCACGCGGAGCGACGAATAAACCTGCCATCAGCAGTCACAATGTCAGACACTGTGCATACCTGGAGGAACATTCGGCACCAATTGAGCCATAAAAGTTCCTCCTGTTCAACCTCCAAGTTGATGAAGAGATCCATCAGAAGGCTGTTTATTATAAGCGACAGCCGAATAAAAACCTTTGTGCTTTGCCTTCATCGTAGCTTGACGCATCCTATCGTTCCACCCATGACCCTCTGGGATAGAGGGCCAAAACGTTTTGGCCTCCGCCAACAACGCTATTCCCACTCGCTCATCTTGCAGCCAGGAGTTGATCTGCCGCTGTTTCACATGATCACCTTCCTCTGGAACACCGTTAACGTTCTGGAAGGTGACGCGAGTAGCGAGTGAAGAGCGACAGCGATGGTCATCGCCAAGGCAGTCTCCTGGTGGCAGAGAGCGTAAATATTCGTCAAGTGAAGCGTGGGAAACAACACTTGACGGGCCACTAATTCGAGATCAAGCATCCCTGAACCCATTCCACGCGGAGCGACGAATAAACCTGCCATCAGCAGTCACAATGTCAGACACTGTGCATACCTGGAGGAACATTCGGCACCAATTGAGCCATAAAAGTTCCTCCTGTTCAACCTCCAAGTTGATGAAGAGATCCATCAGAAGGCTGTTTATTATAAGCGACAGCCGAATAAAAACCTTTGTGCTTTGCCTTCATCGTAGCTTGACGCATCCTATCGTTCCACCCATGACCCTCTGGGATAGAGGGCCAAAACGTTTTGGCCTCCGCCAACAACGCTATTCCCACTCGCTCATCTTGCAGCCAGGAGTTGATCTGCCGCTGTTTCACATGATCACCTTCCTCTGGAACACCGTTAACGTTCTGGAAGGTGACGCGAGTAGCGAGTGAAGAGCGACAGCGATGGTCATCGCCAAGGCAGTCTCCTGGTGGCAGAGAGCGTAAATATTCGTCAAGTGAAGCGTGGGAAACAACACTTGACGGGCCACTAATTCGAGATCAAGCATCCCTGAACCCATTCCACGCGGAGCGACGAATAAACCTGCCATCAGCAGTCACAATGTCAGACACTGTGCATACCTGGAGGAACATTCGGCACCAATTGAGCCATAAAAGTTCCTCCTGTTCAACCTCCAAGTTGATGAAGAGATCCATCAGAAGGCTGTTTATTATAAGCGACAGCCGAATAAAAACCTTTGTGCTTTGCCTTCATCGTAGCTTGACGCATCCTATCGTTCCACCCATGACCCTCTGGGATAGAGGGCCAAAACGTTTTGGCCTCCGCCAA